CTCGCGCTCAAGTGCAGTGCGGGGCGCGGCGGGGGGGGAGGCAGCTGAGCCACCCTGGGACGTGGAAATCGTTATGAGTGATTAGAGCTATTACTGTAACGAGGAGAGGCAATTAACGGCGCCTTGACATCAGTTGAGGCCGGCTAATGTACGTGCGCTCGCTGGGAGCGGGGGGCGGCTGGGCACGGGGACACACGTGGTGCTGAGCTGCCTGGCCGGGGGTCCTGGGATGGGGCCGACACGTGGCTGGGGATCCCGGGATGAAGGTGGGATCCATGGGCAGGATCCCAGGGGCGCAGGGGTGACGGATGGCTGAGGATCCTGGGATATAGGGGTGAAGCAAGGCCAGGGATCCCAGGAGATGGGGATGACGTGTGGCTGGGGATCCCGGGATGCAGGGATGGCGCGTGTCTGGGGTGCCGAGAGGCAGAGACAACGTGTGTCCGGGATGCGGGGATGTGTGCCAGGGTCCCGGGATGCGGGGATGATGTGTGCCCGGGATGCTGAGATGCAGGAACGATGTGTGCCCGGGATGCTGGGATGCAGAGACAGCGTGTGTCCGGGATGTGGCAATGATATGTGTCCAGGATCCCAGGACGTGGGGATGGTGTGTGCCCAGGATCCTGGGATGCAGGGACAATGTGCACCAAGGATGCGGGAACAACGTGTGCCCGGCATCCTGGGATGTGGGAACGATGTGTGCCTGGGATGCTGGGATGATGTGTGCCTGGGATGCAGGGATGATGTGTGCCCAGGATGCTGGGATGATGTGTCCCTGGGATGCTGGGATGCAGGGATGCTGTGTGCCCGGGATGCAGGGATGCAGGGATGCAGGGATGCTGTGTGCCCAGGATGCCGGGCACGGGGCCCAGTCTCTGCTCCGCGCTGCCAGCAGATGCTGCTGTTAAGCCGAAGGGAACCCCCATCCCCGCTGCCCCTCACAGCCAAAAGCAGCAGCCCCTCGGCCCGGGGTCCCGTCCGCTCACCCCAGCCCTGCGGGGCACCCCGGATCAAGGCCAGCACCCATGGGTGCCAGCGCCAGGTGGGGACCTCTGGGGAGGAGAAGCCACGGGTGGGCACAGAGCTCCCCACCCTCGGCGGTGCCACGCTCTCCATCCGCTCCTGCGCAGAGTCCCGCAGTCACCGGCCATGGGGCCGGCCCTGCTGTCGAGGGGGCCCTGGGTCCCCGCAGACCCCCCGGGGGACAGGGACACCCTCCAGCGCCAGGACGCGGCCAAGGGGCCGCAGCGGGACGTCCCCACGGACCCCCTCCCCACCCAGCGGCGTGTGCGAGTGGCCCCGGCGATGTTGTTGTTCCAAAACCCGCTGGTTTCTGGCCAGAAAAGGGAAAAAAAAAAAAAAAAAGAAGAAAAAAAAATTAAGGTTTTTTATTTTTTTCCCTTTTCCGTAGTCGTCTCCGCGTCCAAACTTCCTGACAGCGGCTCCCGCCCTCCCCCCGCCTTCG